ATCAGTATTTACAAACAGTAGGTATAATTAAGATAATCTAAATTCATTGATTCAATAACTAATGGCTGCTGCGGAGGATGTTAATGTAAGATCAATAAAATAAAAAAAAAACAGTATAATTAGCTGCGAAAGGAAAACGATAAAAAAGGCCTTTATTTCTTCCCTATAGCTAGGATACATATTTTGAGCGACAGAAGTATACAATGTTATTTGATAGTATATAGTAGTATCTATATGTAGATTAAAATAATAATATTAACGAACTGAGATGGGTTTATAAATATAAAATATATTATATACCTATTACATGAATTGGAATAGGAATAAACATCAAAATCTAACCTATAACGACCCAAGATAACAAATAATTATAATTATAACTTATTACAATATTATATTTGAGAAAATTTGTACGCAAAGAGTGGGATGAAATTCGTTTAAAAACATAAATAAAGTAACATTAAGCTAGAAGWATTTTAAAGAAAATATGTTTCATGTTCTTAAGAAGACACAATACTTACATAAGTCACATATTATCTAATAAACGTACAACTCCGCGTACAACTTACAACTAAGCAAATCTGCGTCCAGCAGGACCAATTTTGTGTTGATAGCTTTAATATTAAGTGAGTTGTCATATTATAATCAATCATTAAGGCAAGAATATTATCTATGTTTGTGCGTTGGTAGTATATATTTTTATCTTTAAGCGGATTATGAACATTTTTAAATTGCAATATAGTATATTTTACTTATAACCCGATTAAAAGTTGAAACATCGTAAAAACCGATAAACAAAGATAATGTTCTTAAAACTAAATTTGATAATAGATAATTTTACTCTTATATTGAAGCCACTGTATAAAATTGGTTCAGTTCTGTTGTACTCAAAATACCCATATTGCACGTTTTTTAAGACGAAGACAACACTTGTATGTTTTTATTTTTATAGCTCCACACAAATATTATCATAATATTTGTACGACTTTCAAAAGAATTAAAAATATTTTACGGCGGAGATGTTACAAATCGAACCATAAAAAAATTGTTTTATACCCAGATTTAAATGTTATTATTCAAACTTTCATTTAAAACCCGCTGTAAATTGTTTTAAAGTTTTGATAAAATCGAGAATTAGAATGATAGAATATGACCAGTGGCGTATTTAAGGTTTTTCCGCCTCTAGGCACTTTCCAATTCTCCGCCTTCCTCCCACCTCCATCC